TGGCTCCAGCCTATAATCCCAGCACTTTGGGAGGCCGAGGTGAGCAGGCCACTTGAGCTCAGGAGCTCAAGACGAGTCTGGGCAACATGGCAATACTCCTTCTTTGTGTAAAATTTTTGTATACAAAAATTAGCTGGGTGTGGTGGTGCAAGCCTATAGTCACAGCTACTTAGGGGGCTGAAGTGGAAGGATCACTTGTGCCCAGGAGGTCAAGACAGCTGTGAGTCATGATGGTGCCACTGCACTCCAGTCTGGGTGACAGAACAAGACCCTGTCTCAAAACAACAAAACAGTAAGTAAGACTCCACATTATTCCCCAGTTGTAACTTCTGCTTTTGCTTTCTTGCCTTATATCTTTCCTCATCCTAAAGATTTAGTATGTGCCATATGTTTGGTATATGTTATTGCATTTAAACCTCACAACAGGATGAGGTAGGTATTATTACACAACCGTTTTCACAGATGAAGAAACTAGATACAGAGAGGTTAAAATGCTCAAGGTCATTTAATAATGTCAGAATTAGAATACAAACCCAGCTGGCTGCAAGGCCATTATTTTGCCTCTATAAAAAGCAATTTTCAAGCTGTGTCCCCAAAATTCCATGGAGACTCAGGGTTGCCAGGGAGACAGGAGAGATGAAAGGGCTATGGTTCATCTCACTTTTACAGACAGCTATGAATGTGGACTGCCACATATTCTTTGGATGCCATGGACTCATTTCTGCCTTCCTGTTTGCCTGGACTTCCTTCACCTGTAACTCAGAGATGAATCTTACCTCACCACTCACATCCCCCAAAAGCCACCTCTTTGGTGGCTTTCCGGTCTGCCCTTGCATGTTTCCATTAACCCTTCCACTCCCAGGTTTGCTGTAAAATAACAGGAAGTAGTTATAATGGTCATTTTAGAAATGCTGCCATAACATATAAGCAGTATTACCCATTCTTCCACACTATAAAAAGAGAGACTAGTATGGCTCACACTCTTTAAAACACTGAGTAACCCTCCAGATCATTTGTCATTAGAATTAATTTTACCAACACAGAATTTATATTTTAATAAAATTCATTATTCACATCAACTATGGAGTATTCTAGAATAATCTGCAATATTTGAAGCCATACTAGAAAGATCTAAAGTGAAAAGCTGTGTTCAAAGCCCTCCTCAATTTTCTTTGCTCAGTTTTATGAGCTCTACTACATGATGCTGCTTTCTGACAGCTTACCATATAACAGGTATGTGATAATGTTTGAAGGCAAAGGAACCTTCTTAATATTAAAATTAACATTTTTGATTCCTTTTTCTTGCCTGTATATTCACATAGCTTATAATGACACCAAACAAAACTGTTTGTGAAGAGGACTGAAACAGTCCTGATTAGTTTAAATAATGAGAAAAATGTGGCTAAGTTATGACCTAAATTATCAACAGTGATCTTCAGTCTGACAGGAAACCTCTTTTTACATTACCGGCATTACCAAATAAATGGTACTATCTTGCAGTATTATAAGTACTCTGCTGCCATCCTTGTAAGCCAGATAAGTAAACACTATGGACATATTACTATAGCATTTCTCAAAGTGTGGTCCATAGAGCGCCTGCATCAGAATATCCCAAGGTACTATTTATCTTTCTTTTCTTTTTTTTGAAAGAGACAGGGGTCTCACTATCTTGCCCAGGCTGGTCTTGAACTCCTGGGCTCAAACAATCTTACTGCCTCAACCTCCCAAGTAGCTGTGATAAAAGGTACATGCCACTGTATCCGGCCTGAGGTGTTATTTATAATATGCAGATTCCTGGGCCCTACAAGCAACCTGAAGAATCAAAATTTCTAAAACAGACCAAGAAATCTGCATTTAGTTTTCAAATGAATGAGAAGTTGTTGTTGCCCAGGCTGGCCTCGAACGCATAGCCTCGCCTCCTCAAACACCAGGACAACTGGCCTGAGCCACCGCAGCTCCCAGGAAATGTACATTTTTAAACAAGCTCTCCCAAGTTCTGCTTAGGTATTGATTTGAGAAATCAATGGTATAAATCCTTTTAATCTGATCTTACTAGTTAACGGAGAGATTGGTTAAAACAGAAACAAAGACCTTTTCTCTATTTTGCTGACATTTAAATTTTCACATTTGCAGACTGTTTCTTAGTATATGTCCTTGTAACAAGCATTTTCTAATAACCGAAAAAATTTAAGGGCCAATACTACTAATCATAATTTTATTCTCAAAAGTATTCTCTCAAAGTAAATTTTCACTTTTTAGGAAGAGTTGTAGGATAGTGAAGTTCTTCATTAAACAGCGATAAACTAACTGGTCTTCACTCAATTTAGCAGTTCACATAGTTTATTCAGCAATATAACAGGAGAGAACCTCCATTGTAAGAGACATAAGGCAGATACAGGGTGGATCTCTGGGGTACATTCTTCATACAGACTAACAAATACGTTTAGGTTTCACAACATGTGGCAAGTATGATTTGCTGCACACCAAAAACCATTCATTCCTCACTTTTTCCTTGCTAAAAGAGACCTGGCCAAGCATGGTGACTCATGCCTGTAATCCCAGCACTGTGGGAGGCTGCAGCAGATGGATCACATGAGGTCAGGAGTTCGAGACCAGCCCCGCCAACATGATGAAGCCCCATCTCTACTAAAAACACAAAAACCAGCCAGGTGCGGTGGCGGGTACCTGTAATCCCAGCTACTTGGGAGGCTGAGGCAGAAGAATCGCTTGAACCTGGGAGGTGGAGGTTGCAATAAGCAGAGATTGCGCTGCTGCACTCCATCCTGGGCAAAAGAGCAAGACTCTGTCTCAAAAAAATAAAAAGAGCCCTGATTTCATTAATGGAGGCAATGTGCCCTACCCAGGCAATGCTGACCCTATTCCCCTTTGCCAAACTTTCCCAGGCTCCCTTATAAACTGGTACTTTCTAATGAGATGTAGAAAAAAATCTGCTAGGGATTTTTGGAAAAGATTTGATTCCCAAATAAAAGACAGACTTGAAAGAAAGTCGTTTGCTCTCCACTTCCAGCCTTTTCTAGGGATTACAAAGTCTGGTACAACAAGAAGTCATACCATATGCATTGAGAAAAAAACCATAGGGACAAAGAGCAAACATGGGTCCTAGGCTGGGTGAGGTGGCTCACACCTGTAATCCCAGCACCTTGGGAGGCCAAGGTGGGAGGATGGCTTGAGCCTAGGAGTTGGAGACCAGCCAGCCTAGGCCATACAGCAAGACTTTGTCACTACTTTTAAAAAAGCAAAAGCAAAAAAAAAGAAAAAGATCCCAAGCGGGAAGGACAGAAAGAAGCTGGGACCTTGATAATATTATTGAGGTGATATAAAAGCAGTAGATACCTTGATACCTGGCATGTTAACTGTAATTTAAAAATTATTCAGTGGACTCTGAGATGCTTTCAACAGCTTTTTCTAAGTGGCTTAACCCCAACTCTGGGTCTATGATTTTCATGAACAATAGAGTTCAGAAAGTGGCCAATGTTCAGCAAGATCTTCTTAGTTCTAAGAAGATGCTTCCCCTAGACTGTTCACAATATATATGAGGTCAGGCTTGATAATTTCTTTTGTCATACATCTCCTAGATAGGTACTTTTCCATTTCCAGGGGAGGACGTTGTAAATTCAGTCACGACAAAGACAAAACAGTCTTTTGTTTATGTAAAGCCAAGTAAGTATTAGACAGGTGGCATTTCTGCATGTTTCGGCAAAACCTACATAGGTATTTCCTAATAGAATGTGATTTATCTGACAGTGACCAGTAATCAATAATGTCATAGCCACACTGAGGATGGGCCAAAGAGGGCCAATGATTAACAGATGGCTATATATGGATAAATTTTATCTATCTATCTATCTATCTATATATATCATCACTGACTAATGCATAAGAAGTGGAGTCTATAACAGTGTAACTTCTTATTAAAATTCACTGGACTAATCTAGGATCCAGCTAAAACAAGGATGCTTTCCCACAAAAGTTATCATTAGAAATACCATTATGGAGCACATAGTATGAGACTTGCCCTCTAGGACTACCTTTCATATGTCACTATTTAAGCTGCAGAAAGTTTTTTAGAAGTGGTAAGTTCCAAATTATTGTTAATAGGAAATATGGATTAGCCTCAGTCTAGATGGACAATCTGGCTGGAATACTGACTAAATTCAGGGTGAGCAAAATATGTGTAGGCCACAGAAGCAGATCCAACAATTTAAGCAGTTCCCCCAAAGTAGTGACAATCTGGGTCAGATTTAGAAAGGAATTCTTTTTCCATCTTCTTTGGGCTAACCACACAAAAGCCTCTAGACTTGACAATTCTGACTATGACAGAAGCTATTTGTTTTGGCCCAGCTTTTTGTTTAAGGTTTTATCTGTTCTGGTCAAGATTAACTGTAATGCTGGGTTAAAACCAGCTACTCGAGAGTCATGTATTCTTTTTCTAACCAGTGGAGGACCCAGAAGAAATGGATGGCAAGCTTTCTCAAAGGTCCATCTGGTGAGATTTTGGGGAGCCCACTCAAGTGGGAAAGACCAAGGAAGAACAAGGCTTCTGTTAGCAGGATTATCAGGATAACACTCAGGGCAATAATCAGCTCTGTTAATACGGTCTAAGAATACCTGGTAACATTCATTTTCAACAAGTTCAGTTTGGTACAACCAGTGGCCTAGTTCCAAACTAGGGAACCACTGTTGTCCACAATCAGGGCAATGTGAATTATCGGAAAACATCTGGACCTAGAAAGACAACACAGACAGCAATGTAACAGCAAGAGGCAACAATGACAAAGAGAGACACCCAAACAACCAATCCTAATACAGGTTTGGTTTACCAATTTCTTAGTTCAACCAATATTACTTGGAGAGCCAAATAAACTTGGTTTGCACCTCAGTGCAATTCTTCAAGATTTCGTTGTCTATTTTTCACTCAATTGCAACTCAGTCTCTGAACTCAGGGACCGATCCAGTTTATAATGTTATCAGTCACTTACTAGCAGTACAGATCTCAGGATAGCTCCTTCAAATCCCAGCTTCTCAAGAAGAGATAGGGCTCTAGTTTAAATTAGTTATATTTTTCTTATGCGTTATCAGCTGCTGGTGGTGTCACACAGAGGCACTTGGCTTACTCTGCTTTGTTGGGAAGGTTATTGTGTCTGCTTGGTGAAACAGAGGAGCTGACAGGTCCAATGGGTCTTTTGTTGGTGCTGGCACTCTTGCCGTTGTAATACACGTACCCAAGTCTTAAGGCCTTGACACTTTATAGCAATGTAGAGGGGTCAGAAAAACCTGGCAGAGTCGTCTTGAGCGAAGATCCAGTGAAGTCTGTCTTGGGAGAACATTAATCAGGACCCAGTTGCTGTGAAGTAGCTGATGCTGAGTTGGATGGAGAACCTGGAATGCATCACATACCTGTAAATGACAACACTTCAGACGACTCATATGGGTTTTGCAGTTCCTCACATTATTATTAGAAACATGCATTTGGAAATTATTCAGGTTAGTTATAGGCAGATAAGAAATGTCTCATGGGTTTTCCCATGACTATTTAACATGGGATCAAACCAATTGATCTGTTGGTACTAGAAAGAATTCTAGATCATTTATACTAGGACTAGCTTAATTTTTCAGGACTGTATTTCTTTTTTACTCCATATGTACCTTGCATAAGGTCTGTACAATCACATCTAACTTGGTAAAACTTTGAGATCTCCTGTACATCTCTTCTGTAAAATCAGTGCCAGGTACGGCATTCCCATAACTTATGGGATAACAGTAACAATGACAGGCTTTCCCTAATAGGTTTCAATCCATCCACAAAAAAGCTTACACAACTTTTACATAATAGTCTTAAAAGCTAACCATAGGAAGTTGAATGAAATCCAAGGGGCAGGTCTCATTGCCCACCATCTAGTTTTATTGGTTTAGGCACAGTGTCAGTCTGAGAAGGCAAGTAAGGCATAGCCCTAAGCAATAGTCCTAGGCTATTCTTGCAAAATGCATAGCAAGTCAGTTGGAATTTGCAGATACTATCATCATCTTTGCACTCCTTCATGACACTGAATGTAGCATGTAAACAAGGTGGGACAGTAGGATGTATGTAGAAGGTCACCTAGAGAGTGTCATAGATTGTCAGAGTACTATATACCACGCCTTTCTCCCATGTTCTTTTTGTAAATTCTGAGGCTCGATCCTGTGAGAGTAATAAGAGACACTGGGGAAAGCATGGGTTAAAATATAAAGATCTGGCCGGAAAAACAGAAGGAATTATGGCCTTATTGTGGTAAGCCAGAACTCTTTCCTTACAGAAATAATAGCTGTGATTCTCAGATTTTAAAATAGTAAATTTAAAAGGTAAATGAAGAGCCTCTGACAGTGCTACAACATGGGGCCCATATTTTGATGGGAGCCCCAGAGCAGGTGAAAGAGAGTCAAGATAGATATACTGATGTGTTTTCTGAAGTTAGGTAGCAGTATACGGTTGAGGGCTACTAATTCAGTTCCTCAGGCAGAGTGGACAAAAGGTAGCGTTAGCACAGGGTATAACAGAGTTCCCTGAGGGTCTATTGACAAAAGCTACCAGAGGCCGGGCGCGGTGGCTCACGCCTGTAATCCCAGCACTTTGGGAGGCCGAGGCGGGTGGATCACGAGGTCAAGAGATCGAGACCATCCTGGTCAACATGGTGAAACCCCGTCTCTACTAAAAATACAAAAAATCAGCTGGGCATGGTGGCACGTGCCTGTAATCCCAGCTACTCAGGAGGCTGAGGCAGGAGAATTGCCTGAAACCAGGAGGCGGAGGTTGCGGTGAGCCGAGATTGCGCCGAGATTGTGCCATTGCACTCCAGCCTGGGTAACAAGAGCGAAACTCCGACTCAAAAAAAAAAAAAAAAGCTACCAGAGTAAAAGATTCAGCTGCTGAATTAAACCTTGGGCATCTAGTCATGGTACAGAGAGATGACAAATGAAACTTCCACAGTGGTAGAGCCCAATAAACACAGAAGATAAAAAATAAGAAGTCTGACATTTAAATGATCAAATTTTGGATTTTTAGAGCAAAATCAAATAAATACAACAAGATACTACTGTAGTATCAGCAAGATACTATTTTACATCCACCAGACTACAAAAACTAAGAAGTCTGACAAAGGGGGTTCCACATACTGTAGGAAAAACCACTCTTCCCAGAGGACTCCTTGGTAGGAGTCAAGAGAAATCCCTAAAGGTCGAAGTGCTCAGAAAAATTCCATCCATTCCCCAACCTTCAGTTTTCCAACTTCAGTAATCAAACAAGCACTAGAATTCCAAGTAATTCTGTATCAAGAGAACTCCACTGTTCCATATGTTCCAGACAAGTCTTTCCTCCTCTCCTGTAGGCAAGAGCCAATAGGAGGCCCCAGAACCCCAAATGCTCAGAATAATACCACCCATTACAGCTTCCTCACTCATTCTTTAGCCTTAGAGCTAATGGATGAGTAGGAATAAAGAAAGGGGCCTGGGAAAATGCTAATGGCAAGATTCCTAACCCCATACCCACCCCAACACTCACGGCTTCACTACCATTATCTGCTTAAAAGCATCAGGACCATCACTTCTCGGACTTTTGGCTAAGATCAAGTGTAGAAAGCATCAGGACCAACCTGATATTTGCATCTCTGTTTACGTCAGTCACCACCTGAAACCCAGGACTTCTTGGTTATATCTCATCCTCTTAAACTCAAATCTCCCATATGGCTCTACGAGCAGTGCGATAACAAGCACTACCCTTGCTTTATTTTTTTCCCATAAAACAAGTACCATTTTGCTATATTATTTATTTTGGCTATTTTGCTCTACTAAAATATAAACTTCCTGAGAGCAGGACATTTTATCTTCTTATTTACTGCTATAGTGGCCAATAAATATTTCTGGATGAATAAATGACAAAAATAAAATGTAACTTGAATTCTTACACTCTAATGACAAGACTATAAATCTGTAATCACTTTTGGAATTGGCATTACCTAGTAAAGCTGAAGATGTGCAATTCCTATAACTCAGCAATTCCACTCTTAGGTATATACCCTAGAGAAATTACACATGTACATTTAAAAACATGAATAAAAACATTCATGGTGGCACTGTGTAATAGCAAAATAATAACCAAAATGGCCATGAACAGGATAATGAATAAATTGAGGTATTTCTGTACAATAGGATACTGTCCTTATAAACATAGATGAAACTCAAGAATGTTGAGCTTAAAAAAAAATGTAGGTAGCAGAAGGAAAAAATACATACATGCACACATTCTTATATAAACTTTCCACTTATATAAAGTTTCAAAAGCATATAAAATTAATGTATTGTTTAGGGATAAGTATGTTAAAAAGCTTAAAAAAAAAAAAGTGTGGGCCGGGCGCGGTGGCTCAAGCCTGTAATCCCAGCACTTTGGGAGGCCGAGGCAGGTGGATCACGAGGTCAAGAGATCGAGACCATCCTGGTCAACATGGTGAAACCCTGTCTCTACTAAAAATACAAAACATTAGCTGGGCATGGTGGCACGTGCCTGTAATCCCAGCTACTCAGGAGGCTGAGGCAGGAGAATTGCCTGAACCCAGGAGGCGGAGGTTGCGGTGAGCCGAGATCACGCCATTGCACTCCAGCCTGGGTAACAAGAGTGAAACTCCGTCTCAAAAAAAAAAAGAAAAAAAAAAGTGTGAGTCCAAACCTCAGGATAATTATTACCTCTGATGGGAGAGGGAACCCTGGGAGATGAAGGGCATTCAAAGAATTTCAAAGATAATTGTAATTTTGTTTCCTTTAACTGGGTGACGGTACAATACCCATTGTATCATAAATCCTAATAGCTTACAGCATCTCTATTCAATATATTATAATGTTTAAAAAGAGAAAGATTAATAAGCAAAAACAAACTTTCACACTGTGGACAAGAAGACCAGCAGCAGTTAACTTGCTCAGAGGCAAAGCAGGCAACTTTTACTGGGATAAAGAAGAGCCATATAGAAGGATATGGATCTGTTTTCCTCACAAAATTTTAAGCAGTCATCTCTTCATAGAAACAAGGTAAAAGAAGCCTATCTAATGGTTGTACGAAAAGGAGGGTTTATCTTAGCATACTCTATGAAGGCATGAATTTGTGTGTAGGGAAGTTGCTATTTCATATGACGCCTTTATACAAATTAGAAAAAGACACAGTTCCTCTAAGCAATCTACAGCTCAGAGAACGTTATTTGGCAGGGTATTAAATGGTATATGGTATACAGTAACCCTCTGTCTGTTAGATAATAACACTTCGTAGCTAACCCTTAATGGAGTGCTATTTTCTGTTCTACACACTTTATTTGTATTAACTCATTTAATCTGCTCAAAAAGCCAAAGGACCCTCTTCCATTATGAATAAATACTGGCAGTGGGAGAAATCACCCCTTCTAATTTTTCACTTCCACACCAAAAAATACAGGACAAACTTCAGAGAGTCCTGAATCCTCTGAAATTACATATAAAACTCTCTATATACATATGTGTATTTCTTTTCCAAAAGATGGTAAATCTTTTTAAACTCCTAGAGGAATCTGAAATGACTCAGAACCATAGGCACCATGCTTCCTAATCATTTTGCTATCCAAGGTACCTTTTTTCCAACCCCACCCCACCTCCCCCATTTTGGAAAGATGTCCAAACAATCTGCAGTCTCATAATAATTTCATTTTCTCATATTTAGTAATCAGATATGTAGATCTGCCAAACAGAATTTCAAATAAAACAAAAAACGACTGTTACTAGCCTTGGTTTAGAACTTCCAATATTTTACATTAGACAGAATATATTACATGTCTATAATATAGAGTTGGAAAGATCTGGATTTGTAAAATCAGCTTCCTTTCTCAACTCCATTAGCTTAAGTCCAAAGCAACTGATTGAAGGTAAATATATGACTGTCATTAGGTTTTTAGAAATGCTGAAAATACCTTGAGAACTACCATTACTCTACTGATTGTTAAACATAATTGTTTAAGTTATTTGAGGAAAGCACCATGTGCTAGGCCCAATGCCAAGTACTACGGATACAGAAAGAACAATCATTCAGGACTTCCAGATGTCTAGGGAATCCAGACTGGAACCAGTGACAGGCAAAGGCTAAGGGCACTTGGAGGAATATAAAAAAGATCCCCTGTAGAGATCACAGGAAATTTAGGGAGGCCCACAACAGAAGCTGGGATGCCTGTATTTTCAAACCTCCTTCACTAAACAGTGGGCAAAAAAACCAAAATTTGAGGAGCTTTTCTACTGCACAAATGCCATACAAAAGAAAATACAAATCAGGGGTTTTGTGTATGTGAATTAAATAAATTTAAGATCCTTCCTGAAACTTTATTAAAAGAAAATTTAGAGAAGAAAATAGTACTTTC